ATGCTTGGTGAGTCCTCTCCAACCACACTGGGCCACTGGTGGTTTAGCTGGGGGCTTCTGCAATGTACTCTGACTCCTGCCTTGGTGTCTTTGGTGGTGCTGGTGTCTTCTGTGATGGTTGTGGCCCCTCTCACCTGCTCTGGACTGGAAGTTGTGATAGTTTCTTTTGCTATGCAGAAATATTTTAGTTTGATGAAGTCCCATTGTTTATCTTTGGTTTTCTTTCCCTTGCTATTGGATTAAAAGTCTCAAATACATCACTGAATACAATATAGCGGCTTACCTGTACTTTCTTCTATATATTTCATGGTTTCAGGTCTTGTAACCAAATCTTTTAATCCATTTTGTGTTAATTTTTGTGTACCCTGGTATTGTGTTCTAGTTTCATTCTTTTGTATGTGGCTAGAAAGGAAACAACTTTTCCTTTCTCTAATGTATATACTCTTTGCTCCTTTGTCATAAATTAACTGGCTTAGAAATGTTTGCTTATTCCTAGACTATTCTGCTCAAGTTTTCATTTTTATTGCAATTATATACTGTTTTGATGACCATAGCTTTGTAGTATAGTTTCAAACCTGAAATGTGATGACTTCATTCTTTTTTGTCTGGATTGTTTTGGTCATTTGGATTCTTTTGTGGTTCCACATTAATTCTATTATGTTTGTTCTATTCTTTGAAGACTGCCATTGAAACTTTGGTAAAGATTGCATTGAATCTGTATATTACTTTGTGAAATATGACCATTTTAACAATGATTATTCTTCCAATCCATGAGCAGGAAATATCTTTTTATTTCTTCATGCCTTCCATTTTTTTAACAATGTCTTATATTCTTTGTTGTACAGATTTTTACCTCTTTTGATAAGTTTATTCATAGGTATTTTGGGATGCAGGCCAGATTCGCAGGAGGGTGAGAGGTTTCACCAGAGACAGAGCAGGGAGCAGATCAGGCAGAAGGACTGAAGTACACTGCTGAGGGGAGCAGTGGGTGGGACAGGAGAGGTCTGCTATGCCATGTGGGAATCTCCCTGCCTGGCCGGGAATCGAACTGGTGCTGCAGAGTCTGCAGATAGCTTCACAGTGCTGCACTCAACCCACTGTACCACCGGAGAGGCCCCATAGGTATTTTTTGATGCAATTATAAATGAGACTCTTTTATTGATTTGTCTCCCAGTTCTTTCACTGTTTGAAGAAGTGCAACTGATTTCTGTGTACTGATTTTGTACCCTTCCATTATATATGTGTGTGTGTATGTATGGCATATATATATATTATATATATATATATGGCATATAGCATATATATATATTTACTAGAGAGATTAAGGTTTCCTATATGTATTATTATGTCTTGTGCAAATCGTAATCACATCACTTATTTTCCAATTTAGATTCCTTTTATATATTCCAGTATTGGCTAACTTTTCTAAGACTTCCAATACTATCCTGAATAGTAGCTGTGAAAGTGAACATCCTTGTCTTTTAGGAAAAGTTTGTTTTTCAATATTAAATTTGATTCTAATTGATTTGTATACTCTGCTTTTCACTACCTACTGTGGTGAAACTTCTTGTGTCAAAGCCCCAGTGAATAGTGGAGTAAGACAGGGCCACAAACATGTGGTTTACTATTTCTAAATTAGTAAACATAGTTGTAATATCATAGCTATATACCACATCTGGGTTCACCTCACATTCTACAACACAAGTACCTTTAAATACATGGAGGCCATATAACTTCAAGGTTAAAGTTCAGTGTACAAATTCTGGAATTAGATTAATTGAATTTAAATCTCAATCTTATCACTACTACATAACTGTGAGCAAGTTTCTTATTCTCTTTGGTTTGTCTCCCCACCTGATTAAATGGGATAGTGATAGCACTTATCTTATGGTGTTCTTGTGAAGATTAAATGAGACAAAACTTAAATGACATTTATCTGACTATTAGTAAATGCTGAATTAAAAGTAGCTCTGTTTCCATTCAAAAACCCACCTAAGTTTTCATATCTTATTAGTTAGCAAACAATACTGGTTGAAACTGGATAAAGCTCAATCTCTAAACAAATTACTACCCATACTCTTTACGCCACAATGGTTTCCATTGCAACATTATTCTTGGTGGTGGATAAGGGGTAGCAGAGTGTTTTAACAATCCCCATACAAATGGTTCTGATGCATGCTCAAATTTAAGAACCACCTCAATCCTGCTAACACTGGTAAGAACGCATAATTTGATTGTATCGTTAATTCCACATTTTAATTTTTGATTTCTTCTCTCCATCGTGAAGCATATGGCTTCACTATCCATTTGTGTTTTCTTCAGTTTGAAAATGGCTCCATCCTTGAGAAAATATCTTTCTCATATTTTTTTGTCTTCAATGACAAAAGACCAGCTGATCATCACCATAAAAGGATTAAATCAAATTGAGACACAGGGCAAGCTAGGAATTAGGCACTTTTAGGGACACTGCAGGAGGGGACCTTGGAGAATTGAGGAAGGCTTCAGCGATAAGGGCAGCAAAAGGAGTGTAACTAATTCCACCTGGAAAAACAAACATCCCAGGACCAAGAACAACATTGTTAACGCTGGCCTTGGTTTCCTTCAGGCGATAAAGGGAGGTAGAAATTGGGGAAATGGAGAGTGGTTTAATTTATGGACAACTTAGAAGGGCAGCTGTTTAACTTCAATGCAGGGATGCCCATCCAGAGGACTGGGCCATAAAGATAAAGATGTAACAAATGGGGAAAGACAAACCTGTTAGATAAGGAATGTGAAGATCCCCCACTCAGTAGCAAATTAAGTGAGACAGCCGAGAACTAACCAATCACAAAGAAACTGGTGGAGCTTTAGAACAATTAGGGAAAGAAGGTATATATTCCCTGAGACACAACTCCACTTTGGCTTCCTTGACCCTCCCAGGCCTGGTTCCCTGGCCTGGGAGTCCCACTTTATTTCTGTTCTTTTTCTCCTCAATAAACTTTTCTTTCTCTAAACAAACCTGCCTCTTCTCGTTTACTTGCTTGATCGTCTGTGAAGTTCCTGCTGCGGCTTCATGAGACACCAACCCGTGGGGGTCTAGTGGCTGGGACTCAGCGCTGCCCCTGCAGCCTGGAATCTGTTCCTGGCTGGGAGACTAGGCCTGACAATTCCGGTATCAAAATCATAACCTTAATTTTCTAATATTTCATCCTGTTATATGTCCTCTAAATCCAAGTAATAACTAGAATCTGAGCAAGGGCTTAACCAAGGGCAAATTATTTCCTCATGCTTATCTTATTTAATGTCTACATTTATCTATATCCTAAGCAAAAGCACAGTTTTAGGTAACTCTCTCAAATTCAATCCCAGATTTTGAGGATGTTGGGAACAAGTCAAGGAATGATTCATATCAGTTAAGAAACAGACCCCTGGTTCAGTTACTCTTTTCATTTTCCTAGATGATAACAGGATAGGATTCTGAAACATCTACTTAAAAAAACACTCCTTTGTTGAAGATTAATACAACTGCTAACAAAATTAGTCACATGCAGTTCTTTTAAAACTAATAATATAGGCTACCTAAAAGACAAAATGTTCTTTGCTTCTCAGTGAAAATGCTCTCAACTGGAGATAAGATGGGGAAAGGAATTGCTGTATCATATGGTAATGGAGATGGAGATTATGCTAAGTGAAATAAGTCAGAAGAAGGAAGACACATTCTACATGATTTCACTCATAATGTAGAATATAAAGGAAAATAACCAAAGGAACTGATAGAAAACTAAGTCAAAACAAACACTAGAAGAATGACTGCAAATTGAGGCTACTAGATAGTGAGGGATAGCTGGGCATGGGAGTAAAGCAGAGAGAGGGCTCAACAGCCTAGGATAAAGGACTATAGGTGACTTGATGTTGGGGGTGGTACAGTAACATACATCTGAGGTGTGAACCTATTCCCCTAAATAATGTACATTGGTTGTAAACCAGTATTATCTCAAAGAATACAAAAAACTAAGATGGGTAAAGGTGAAGTTCTGGTGGTCTGGAAGGAGTTTCTTCATGACATGAGACTAGCAAAGTGAGATGAGTCTATTGTGCAATAGATTCCCTACATGTTGTTATGTTTTGTTATCCTACCTACGAAAACTGAAAATATTTAGGTCTTTGAGTAATTTTAGAGTTGTCAAGCTCCATTTCTCCCAGTTGACAATGCTTCATCTTTTTCTTAGGTGATTAAGTAAAATATGACTCCAACTTAAAAAAGTTTTAACACTACTTGATTAACATAATGCACATCCCACTACATATTATGTATGAAATAGATAAAATTAACCATTCTTGACTCAAAAAAGACTACATGTCATAAATTATATTTTCCCTCAATTTTTTATTCCTTCTCTAGTTATATCCTATAACACTTTTAACATACCTCAAGTCTGTATACAGTTTCTCCAACTGCTATCCATCAGTCCATATAATTTAGGTTAACTTTATTTCAAATTCCTTTCACATAATTCCCCTCCTCAAAGCCTACAATTGTTTCCTACTTCCTATCACATTCTATCTAAACTTTTCTGGTAGCTTTAAGGCTATAATCTGGCTCTATCCTTCCCATTCAACTTTATATTTTTTAAAAGTATTTTTATTGATTTATACAAGAGCTGGGGTACAGGCCAGAGGCATGGGAGAGTGAGAGAATTCACCAGAGACATAGCAGGGAGCAGAACAGTCAGATCTACTGAAATACACTGCTGAGGGGAGCATTGGGCAAGGCAGGAGAGGTCTGCTGCACCATGTAGGTAACTCCCTGGCTGGCCAGGAATCAAACCCGCGCTGCAGAGGCTGAGGACAGCTTCCCAGTGCTGCGCTCACCCCGCTGCGCCACCGGGGAGGCCTCCATTCAACTTTATTTTGTACTATTTCTCAACCAGCATATCACCGTTCCCTAAGATAATTGAGAAATTGATTTACTTTTAGGGGAAAGTTGAAGAAACAAAGAAACAGAAAAATAGACACTTAAATTCCTAACAGCAAGTTTATTTTCAATTGAAGTTACAGAATATTTTTAATTCATGCTGAGAAAACAGTATATTCCAAACATAGGTACTATCTCACAAGGAATACAACACAATGTTGGGAAAGGGAAATTTGACATACACAGCTATTAGAACCAGGTCATCAGAACAAAGACACTAGTAGAAGAACCTGTTATCAGAACACATACAAGCACCTACTTTATGTCATACCAACTTTATGAACAGCTTATCTTTTAACTCTTCACTGGCTATTTGAGTAAATAGCATCCAAGATAAACTGGGAAGTAGGGAAGAATACAGAAATGGTAGCATCACAGTATTTCAGAGCATACATATACTAATACAACATTAAGATTAATTAAGAAATAGTATTTCAATTTATTTTCTGAAACATTTTGGCAATGTTAGCGCATGAGAAGACACTGTTTTGGTCCATCCACTCTTTCCAGCTTTTCAAAGTGTTTCCTGGCGTTGCGGATATTGATCAGTGTAGCTGCAGAGGCTGAGGTGGAGGAAGATACCCAACAAATTAAGTACAGACAGTTAAAGGAAAGTTTGACTATTAAAAACAAATGAGCCAAATCCATTAATGAGTATCATAGAGAACATACAGGGATAGGAGGTACCAAGTTAACCATCATTTAATTTTCCGGATAAGTAGATTTGTTTATATTCTAAAAACAGAGATTAAAAAATAAGCTTATAAAATCTTTAGGCTTGAGGTTATAAACCCATTATTTTATGTTGCATTTTATTTATTTATTTATTTATTTATTTATTTATTTATTTAATGTTGCATTTTAATATTAACCTAAGGTCGGAAAAGTCAACATATCAGAGATAATTCAAATTTCTGGGAACATCTTGGAAATAATGCTAGAACTTTTAATTCAATAGTTAGGGGATATGACTAATATGACATGCAAGCACCAAATACCTCCCTTTATGTCCATAACACAAAAGTTGGAATATAGTACTTAGGAATGGAAAATAACATACAAAATGGCTGAATAATTTTAATTATAATTCAGGATTCAGATTGACTAGTCTTGAAAATTTATACCACATAGTATATAAACCACACATTCTTTTCTTTCTTTACTTTTTTTTTTCTTCACAGTATTCTTACTGTTTAGGAAATCACAAGTATTAGGAGCTCTGTACAAAGAAGACCATACACACACACACACACACACACCACACACACACACACACACACTTATTATAAATCACATTACATACAGAATTAGGTAAAGCTCTTACATTCTAACTATATTATATACCCATTGCTTAGAATTCAGCAAAGAATGTTGTTATGTGTAAATTTGAGATGAGGCAATACATAAAATTACTCAATTACAGCCTTGGAATGGGATAGTCTCCATTAATAGTTCATATAGAACATGACTAAATGGTGATAATGCATTCTTTTCTTTAAAAACTGTAAATTTAGTAACTTGATTTTTGAAATAAGTACTCAAGTCTAATATTTTTTTAAGTTTCCATATATATGTATTAACTAAAAAACTACTTACCACTAGTACTATATTAGCTTTAAAAAATTGGTAAAATAAACCTAACAAGAAATTTACCATTTTAACTATTTTTAATTGTACATTAAGTATGCTTAAGGTCAGTGGCATTAAGTGCATTCATACTGTTATGCAACCATTCTCACTATAAAATAATTTTATAATATCTAAAAAGTATTAACTCTAGTTTAAAGAACACATAGTTTTGAACCTATGTCAGCTAAGTTTAAACTTACGAATGGATGGATCAGACATCACAACCATCACATAAGTGTTGGATGTAAAGATGTCAATAAAAGCAGCAAAGTTAGAGTTCCTGACTTCCATGCTTTGGAAAGAGGCAGCCAACTTGCTATAGGAGTAGGAGAAAGGAGAAAAATTAGTAAATATAATAACATTATAATAAATTCTTATCTTTTATGTTACACTTTTTCATAGTATTATGCCTCAAATCATCACTTCATTTAGATGGTTAATCACTAATCCTACTTTATTTTGCACGGAAGCTCTAATGCTGAATTAACATGTTTTGGAAAGTGACTGAGATAGAAAGTGGATTAGGACTTGCTATTGACTGTGAAATCAAAGTGGGTTTAGACCAAAATTCCTGTTAAAAAAAGATTTCTCTAGTATTTAAGAAGCTTAGGTTAAAACTTCCTATCATTTAGATTAGTAACTATATCTTTTGAATATTATATTGAAATTCAATTAATGAGTCCACTTCTAAAATAAACAAGGTAACATATGCATGTCATTTTCTATTTCTTTTTAAAAATATTAGCATAAACATGTCAGAAAGTCTCAAACTGTGTTAAGGCATAAAATGAGTAAATTATTCTATTGTCTAGACATCGAAGTTTTACCAGGGTAAGAATTTTGATTATTGAATCTTTACTAAATTATAATGCTGAGTCTCTCTTTCTTCCTATATTCACAATGCTAAGATTCAAATTGTATTTAACCAAAGCTGAGACAACATAGTTCAGCATTTCTGTACTCTCTGTGTTGTACCATTTCTTAGTCAGTATCTCATTATTTTAAATGCTGTATATTTATAGTAAATCTTTTTATTTGGTAAGGCAAATTCTCCTTCTTTCTACTTTTTTAAAACTCTTATGAATTTTTTAAATTTATTTCTCCCCAAGTATTATTAAACATCCCAAAAGGGTGCTCTGTTTATATATTTTTCATATGCTTTTTTTTTATATCAGTTGATTTTGCACTAAAGGATAATGACTTTTACCCCAGTCAATTGTAGGCTCTCTTAGAGTTTTAGTTTTCTTTTTGATTGAAGAAACCTTTTTGAAAATGTGTGTTGCTTAACAATGTCTCCATCAATGACAGATCATATATATCATGGTGGTTCCGAAAAGCCAACACCATATAACTGCGGTTTGTAGTGGACTATATACTATTTAGGTTTGTATAATAACACTTTATTACATTTGCACAATAACAAAATTTTCTACTAATGCATTTCTCAGAACATATCACCATTGTTAAATAATACATGACTATAGAAGTATAATCAACTAGTTATTTGAAACTCTCAAAAATGGTAATAAATTTTTCCAGAGATATATAGATAACACAAGATCTCTTACCTGCAGCTTAGTTTAAACTGCTTAATAATGTTGCTGATTTTCTCAAATCTGTGGGCATCACGCTGTTCTTTACACTGATAATGAGAAATCACCTAAAAAAATCAATATCCTTTAATTCCATGTTCTATAGTCATATCACTTCTGCTACTCCTCAAGACAGGTACATGCCTCTATTTTTTTTTTAAGATTTATGTATGTATATATGTATGTATGTATGTATGTATTTATTTATGCAAGCACTAGGTACAGTCAGAAGCGCGGGAGATTGAGAGAATTCACCAGAGTCAGAGTGGGGAGCAGAATAGGCAGACTGACAAAGTTTACTGCTGAGGGGAGCAGCAGGCATGGCAGGAGAGGTCTGTGCAACATGTGGGACCCTCGCAGGTGGCCAGGGATCGAACCGGTGCTGCAGGGGCTGTGGGCAGCTTTGCAGCCCAGCGCTCAACTGCTGCGCCACCGGGGAGGCCCATTATGGCTCTATTCTTCAAGGTAGATTTGGTACCTGGCTCTCTCCTGTCCTATATCCTGCCAACATTGTGCATGATTTCAATATCCCCATGGATTGGGACTCACCCTGGAACATTTTCTATAATTTTATTAGGTCATTAAAGTATTATCTATTTTGTTTCATAGCTATTATTCTTCATTTCAATTATTAAATATCTTATTTCAATATTTCATAGGATGGGTTTTGATTTATAAATGTATAAAACAAAAAGAAAAAAATAAATAAAAATCCTTAGTTGTTCTTGAGGTTTACTTAATGTACTGAATTTATAAATAAATGTATTCATGACAAACATCCACACCATGTCAAAAATACTTCACCTAACACTTTCAGATTTTAATAAAACCATATGAGTATTTCCTCCAGGCTGATTATATACATGTAAATTTCTCATAGGAAGCAAAACTGAATCACTCACCAGAAGAAAATTTGCAGAGCAGTTCAATGAAAGCATATGAAACTTTCAAAACACAATTCTTAGATAAATGGAGGAACAAGTCCCCCTTATTTGACTTCAATACCCTCAATGAAACTAGTCAATAATATCTAAACTTAGTCTTCAAAATACACTAAAGCCACCTGTTAGAGTTAGTGAAGAACAGGGAGCTTATATTAGATTAACCTCTATGATCATGTGTGATGGATACTGGCAGAAGTAAACTGCTGAAGTAAAATTCTGTCATGTCATGTATATGAAGATAGACTACCTCACTTGCTTGTTGCTATTCACACCAGCAGGAAAAACAGTCTTTAGGGTAGTGTAATTCAAAGCAAATGACCTCTGCCAGTGGGCTGAAGCAGAAAGATGCTCTTGTCAGGACTCCTTGACTCACCTGTACCAGCTAGCTGGAAGGATAGTTCACAAATACAGCTAGGGTAACAAGGTTTCTACAAAGGAAGGGGTAAAGACTACACTTTTTTTCTTTTTAGATTTATTTGTTTATTTATACAAGCACTGGGTACAGTCAGAAGTGCGGGAGGGTGAGAGAATTCACCAGAGCCAGAGCGGAGAGCAGAACAGGCAGACTGACGAAATACACTGCTGAGGGGAGCAGCGGTCATGGCAGGAGAGGTCTGCGCACCATGTGGGACCCTCGCCCAGCAGCCGGGGATCCAACGGCACTGCAGAGGCTGCGGGCAGCTTCGCAACCCAGTGCTCAACCACTGCACCACCAGGGAGGCCTCATAAAACTACACTTTGCATTCTCTATCCTCCATTGCTATAATAGCAAAAGGAACCAACATTTAATATTTTGTCAACTATATGCTAACTCTTTTGATAAGGCCACTTTAACCTATACAATAAGACTATGACATAGATATTATCTCCATTTTATATAGAAGAGGAACCAACTTCAGATATTAAGAAATAACAGACATATGAAAATTGTTCAATATCACTTATTGTAAGGGAAATGCAAATCAAAATCACAATGAGATATCACCTCACTGCTGTTAGAATGGCCCATATCAAAAAGAATAGAATTAATAAATTGTTGGTGAGTTTGTGGTAAAAACTCTTATTATTCACTATTGGTAGGAATACAAGTTGGTGCAGCCTCTCTGGAAAACAGTAGGGAGATTTCTTAAAATAAAAACAGAAATTCCATATGAATCAGCAATACCTCTATTAGGTATTTATCCTAAAAATATGAAAATTCTATATGAAAAGATTTATGTATGCCAATGTACATAGCATCACCTTCAACAATTGTCAAGTCAGGGAATCAACTAAGTGTCTTTCAATAGAAGAATAAAGATTTTGTGGAATATATACTCAATGAAATACTATACAGCTGTGAAAAAAGATGAAACAGAGGTTTTTGGAGCAAAAAGGATACACCTCAAAGTGATTATATTAAGTGAATAAGTCTGAAAGTGAAAGACGGGTATCAGATTAGGTTTTACTCATCTGTGGAATATAAATAACCAAAAAATATATACATGCAAAATACAACAGGAATAAATCTTGGACTTAGTGAAGGAATTGAATGAGTAGGAGGGAGAAGGGAGTGGGGAAAGGAGGCAAACGGATGTTGGAATAGCTGATTTGGTGGAAGGTGAATGGAACATGTAAACATATGGAAGAGCAAAAACGTAACACCAAAATTAAAATAAAAACAAAAAATTAAATAAACAAGTCTAAATTCACCAAGCATTGGTAGAGCTCAGAAAACAATTTACAGTGAATAGCTCTGAGAGTTACATTTTCTAAGGTGATCAACACTTCTTTTGACATCTCAAATTAATTTTTATTACTGCTATTTAAAAAATTTACTATAATAATTGGTTTTTGTAACCCCCCTTAGGATCACACACAAAGTAAGCGCTAATAAAGTTGTTAAATTGAATTTATAAGTAAAATAAAAATGTCAACATCCCTCTTTCTCATTTCACCTGTCCATCTGAGCTCAGCTTTTCCACTGATTTAATCATTACAGCTCTTGTAATGGAAACTAGACTTTTGGTGATTATCATGACATGGGTATATAGATGTTGAATCATATAGCTGGATACTTGAAACTTACATAATGTTATAAACCATTGCTAGCTAAATAAAACTTCATATAAAATTGTTTTTAACTCTTTTTTTTTTTTGCAGAAAGGATAGGAATACAAGTTTTCTCAAAAGGAAAATATCCTTCATTTCATAATAGATGTTCATAGTAAATAGGAATCCTATAACAAAAATGAATGATTATTAGCCAAAATAAAATTATCTAAACTCTATAATAAGACATACCTATAAAACTCTAAGCTTTACTAACATATAAGGCACTATATACTGAAGGTCTTCTTTTGGGCTATTGCTAACAACCCAATCACATGTGGCACAATGATATTTCAGTCAATGATAGACCACACTGATGGTGGTAGACATAGGTCCTATATAAAGTCCAGGTGTGTAGTAGGCTATACCATCTTAGTTTGCGCACGTTTTATGACTTTTGCACAATGATGAAATCATCTACCAATACAGTTATTAGAATATATCCTCATCATTAAGCAATGCATTACTGTACTATTCTATAAATAAGGCTATGCATGTGCAGTAATGACAAGAGGGAAAGAGTCTTCCTGAAAGTGGTAGTATGTTGTTCTCTGTTGCTGAATAGAAGATGGTAAGTGAAGTATATCTGGAGAGCAGAAAATTCTCACCAGAAAAGTAGCTCTCTCAAATAGAAGCACTTCATCAGCCTCAATAATTTCAGCAAAATTCCTTAGGTTCATTTCCAGCTGCTGAACATTGGGAATTAGCTGATAAACAATGCTGGACCAAGCCTAACGGAACAGAAGCACAGAACAATATTAGTAACAGGCAGCCAGTTCCAGACATTTGCAAATGAATAAGTTCACTATAACGTACAGACAGCAAAATATGGTGATAATTGAGTCCCAAACAAATACTGATAACAAATATAACACAAATAAAATGAGAAAATGAAGCTAACATGGGATTTTTATCGTTCAGTTGGATTTCTTAAAATCTCAAAACACTTTTGCAAAATGCTGGAGAAACTTCTTTCCAATGATAATTAAAAACAAATCATTTAATTCCATCAAGTTGTCTTAGAAAAAAGTTGAAAACTGATCTACTGGAGTAAAAGCTTCTATTCTGGTCATTCAAATATGGACAGACATTTAAGTACAACCATGTAACAAGAGATTAGAACCTAATAATGTTGTATTTAATATATATGCAAAAATCAACTTCATGAAATATCACTCACATGGACAAATGGCCACTCCTCTCCATGGAATAACATACACGAGAAATTAGTGGCATTATGAATCCAAAAAGCTTATTGTCAGCTATATAAATTATGGATCAAATGGAATTAAAAATGGCCCACTGTGTTTGCCTAAAACTGACTTCATCCAGAGGAGTAAAACTAAAAAGTTGAAATTAACCACACCTCCCCTATATTCATTTAAGGCTCTTTAATTTGAATTTTCATTATAATACTTCCTTCAATCTCACTCCAATTTGTCTGTTAAATTGTACAATGTTCTTTTCTCCCCAACTAGAGGGCAGGAACTTGGTCTTATTGTGTGTTGAATAGCATCAAGCAGGTATGAAATGAGTGCTTTCAGATTAAAACTTACTATAAAAATTTAAGTCAGCTTTATGCAACAGTGACTTAATACAGCCATGTCTATGTTCCAATTAGTTTTATTATATAGGTATGGGGGTTCCGGTTCCAAGTTCCCAGGTCCGTGTAAATGTCACTGCTGAATTTACCTTGGGGAAATCACCAAAGCTAACCACAGCAGAGACATTGTCACTCACAGCAGTGTTTAGCCAATTGTCTTTGGCCGTGCTATGTATTGCCATCCTTCACACCGCAGTTGGTTCTTAGTGCATCATGTCCATCCTTATTCATGGTTACCTGTTCTATGGGAATAAGGCTTTGAGAGAAATTCAGCCCAAATTAATCTAGGATAGTACTTCCTACATAGGTATCGCAAAATGATCTGTCATTAGAGTGAGGCTGGGTTAATATAATATTGGGGGGGGAGGGGAAATGAATTAGTTAAAAAAATAAATCAATGGCTCTTTTAAAAGTCCAGTAGTTTCTCTCCTTGCAAAATCAGGTTTCTGTGCTTCTGATTGCAGATACTTGTCAGATGCAGTTGATACTGAAGCTGTAGCTACCAATGACAGAGAAGGATGCTTTCCCACCCAGAGTCAAACTTGTCAATGTATAACATAAGCAGTCTGAAGGAAAGGTCTGACCACAGGAGGATATAAGTGGAGCCATCTTTCAAATCACTAGATCGGTAGAAGAAAGAGAGGAAGCAGGATAAGGAAGTCTATGTGCCCAAAAGGTAATTTCAGCTTCATCCAAAACACAGCTATTGTTGTAACCTTTACAACTACTGCAAGCAGTGTGGTATCCATTCCAGCAATGGGAACAATCCTTTTGGTTGAAAGAATGCTAGTCTCCAATTTGGCAAAAATGTTGATGCTAACATACTCTAGGCATAGCATGCCTCATTCTAAGATTCCCTTTTTCAATCTCTCCCCTAAATATTGTTCTTCTAGGCAGACTAGTTTATATCCTGTAGAGGTACCTGAATATTAGACACAGCTCCAATCAGCATTGAGATCACAACAGGTCAAAATAGAGGATGGCCAGTGAAACCTCTGTTGTCACGAAGATCAGTATCAAGTTAATCATGACCAAACTGGCTAATTCAGTGTGATTTGGTAGGTATGTCGACACAATCTAAGATCAAAACCAAAATCTCTTAAGGTTAAGTCTGATATTTTCCAAACAGTTTATTGTAGATTTGTTTTTAGTACAACACATCTAGCTGGCTAAGAATTAAAAACCTTTTAGTTTTGATAATACCCTTCTAGCTTTTATCATGCTCTTAAAATAAGGGAATTCAGGGACATATACACACCTTATAGAGGGTTTCGTCCCAGATAGATGTTCGGAAACAAGAACATTCCAATGGGCGAGACAAGCGCCTCAGATCTTCTTCTCTCTCTTTAAAAATCTGAATTAAGAAGTCCAACACACTCATCAGCATATAAGAGATCTCCTCTATCACAGCAAAATCTGAGACATAATTATCTCAGAATATTTTAAACAGGAGCTTTAATGATTTCCTCAGTGGAATTTCTTGACTATGCATTTTACTTCATAAATGAGGATGCAGAAATGATTTCAGATCAGATTTAAAAGTGCAACTGCTATCAGGATTCTTCAAGCCCCTGATGCTAGTACTCAGTACACACTTATGACACTATGCTGGAAAATAAAATTAATAATACAGAGGAGTCCTAATAAAAATATTTAACATTCCAAATCACCCAGTTGGGCAATTTAAGATAGCTATATCCACATCAAGATTTTATAAATAAAAATTCTTTAACATTTGTAGATGTCTTTCTCACACACATGTGCATAAACTCATATATATTAAAACTCATATATTTATGGAGTATATCTGTTCAGTTATATGGCTATAACATCCTTAAACACACAAATATATACTTATTTTGGATATGAATCTATGTATATATGCCCATGTAAACGTGGAAAATATTTATTTATACAAATATATATACACAGATATTTTCCATGACTGGGTGGGTTTGTAGTGAGTGTGTGTACACTGTAATGGTTAACTGTAGGTATAAATTCACTCCATAGCACAATAGAGAGGTTGGAATCACCTTCCCTATTAATAAAACTATAAAAAAAATTCACTCAAAGATTTGGAATTTTCCTAGCAGAACTTTTCTATAAATGATTTGCATTAATATTGGTGGCTTGCTGCAAGGAAGGAGAGTATGGCCAGGAAACAAGATACCCCAGCTGAGAAAAAGGCTGGCGGTTAGCCATCTATGGGCATATGGGTGCAGTGAATTTCATGGACTTCACAGCAAGGAGTACAATCACATGCAGGTGTGGGAATGGTAGGAGTCACTGGGAATTTCATCACCAGTGCAGGCAAGAAAAGATCCTCTAATCCCCCTTAATGGAGGGAGAATAATGAAACTTCAGGTGAAGCTCTGCTAGAATTGGTTCAAGTTCAACAGGAAAGGAAATAAGACATGGGGAAGAGAACTTGCCACTCAAGTATAAAGACTCACGTGGACACAGTACTTACAGCCTAGGTCCCTGCCACAATATGGAGGAGCAAGGAGGCAGGGTGGGAAGTTGAGATAACTGAAGCATTGAATGGAGCTTGCTTTGGAGAAGAGAGGGGCAGAGGTGAACTACCTCATTCCACAAGACAGTCACTGAGTATTTAAGACCCTGCCTGTCCTCCTGTCACTTTACACCATCGCAAAAAAGAAAGATGAACAAAACTAAACTCATAGTAACCCAACTACAAAAAAGCAAATAGGCAACACATATGTCTAGGAAGCAAGGAAGATCTGAAAACAAGATGGAAAAGTAAAAAGATAATAAAAGTTCAGACATTAAAGGACACAGAAATAGAGACTATCATTTTAGTCTCTATACTTTAAAATAACAATAAAAATGCTAAATGAGATACTGAAACATCAAAGACAAATAGGCAGATACAAGATTATAGAAAGGAGGTCCAGAAAGGAAAGTGATCATCAAAGAGATTCAAAATATTCAAATAACACAAAATAGGACAGAATGATATGAAGATAAATAGAATTAAACTAGCAGAGAGAACATTTCAGAAATACAAGGCTCAAATTTTTTACATATCTCCTAACCAGAAAAATAAAAGATTTAGAGAAAATAAGGACACTATGACAAATATCAGACTCAATCACATGCAGTAACATAAATATAATGAGTATTCCAGAGGGAGAAAAGAGAGAAGGGAGCACAAATACTTTTCAAAGAAATAACAGATGAGGATTTTCTGAAACTAACAGAAGAATTAAGCATAACTACCCAGAAAGTAGAAAAAACACACAAATTTCTAAATTAAAAAAGACTACACCAAGACAAATCATTCTTAAATTATCAAAAATCAAAGATAAATATAAACTTTTATAGGCAGTCTAAAAAAGTAATATACAAAGGCATCCAGACTAGACTTTCCTCAAATTTTGCTACAATCTCCCTCCAGGCAAGAAAAGAGTGGAATGAAATATTCATAATCTTAAAAGATAAGAATTGCTAGCCAGGAATATCCTGCAAAATTATCATTCAAATGTGAAGGTGAAATACAGTCTTTCCCAGACAAACAGAAGCTAATGGAGTTCATCACCACCAGAACTGCCACACAAGAAACGTTGATTATTCTACATGAAGATGAAAAACAAGACACAAAACCCTGAGCAAATTGACAATAGGAATTAAAAATTAGAAGCATAAATAAGAATATTATGAGTCAGCAACAAAACACTAAAGGAAAGGAGGAAAAGAACAGAACCTGTATAGTTAAATGTCAGGGAGTCGACATCAGCCCACGAAGGACTTTTTAAAGTATAGTAAGCTTGATAAAATCCACATGGTAAGCACTAACCCAAAACCTAGAACAGAGGCACACAGAAGAAGAAATGAAGAGGCTGAGAGAATCATTAGACAAAGCCATTCAAATGGAAGAATGCAGACAGACAAGTTGAACAAGAACAAAAGAAACATAAAACAATGAAAAACCAAAAAGCAGAATGACAGTTAATATACATCACATATCACTAATCTCCCTAATTGTGAATGTCCTGAATTCACCAAGTAAAAGGCATAGAATGATGAACTGGGTAAAATATTTTCAGCCATACTTTGATCGCAAGAAACACATTTAAAACTGAAAGACAAAAACAAACTCAAAGTTTGGAGAAATATCCTCAGCCAGTAACAGAGAGAAAAGCAGGAACTGCTATTCTTGTATCTGACAAACTAAACTTATAGCCAAAAAGGTCATCAGAGACAATGATGGGCATGCGTAATGATCTAGGGAACAACTGACCAAGAAGATATATTTTATACTCATGTTTATGTACGTAACACACAAGGGGAAAGAGTTATAAAAATGAGACATAACAATCATATTGAAAAAAATACAATTATTGTTAGAAACGTCAACACACTACTCAAATAATGGCTTTAAATGAAATGTTGGAACAGACCAGATGGACTTAATAAACATTTAAAGAGCCTTCCCTCTAAACAAATGAACATACATTCCTTCAAGTGCATAGGAAACAGTCTCAAGAATAGATCATATGCTGGAACACTAATCATTTTTCAGAAAACATTAAAATATAAAATATATCAAACATCTTCTCAGATCCCAATGGTAAAAAGCTAGAAATTAACCAGAAAAAGTAACCAAAAAAACAAAATATGTGGGAACCAAACAAAGTGCTTCTGACCAACTCCTGAGTCAATGAAGAAATCAAGAAAAAATTAAAAGGATTCAGAAACTAACTAAAATGGAGAGACAAAATACCAGGTCGTGTGGTATGCTCTAAAAGCAGTACTATGAGGGAATTTCAAGGCAATACACAACAACATTAACAAAAAACCTCACATAAACAAGCTAACCTTACAGATAAAGGAATTAGAAAAAGAACAAATGAATTCAAAAATCAGTAGAAGGATGGAAATTATAAAAATTAGAACATAAATAAATTAAAAACAAAGATATGGTATAATGGATTAGTGAAATCAAAAGCTGGTTTGTTGGAAAAAATTAAATTGACAACCCATTAGCTAGGATTACTAAAGGAGAAAATATAATCATCAAATGAAAGAGGTGATATCAAAAAAACCTACTATGTCTCTATAATCTGGACAATGTCAAAGAAATAGACAAATCTGTAGACTTATCATTCCAAAACTTAACCAGGATGAAAGAGACAGCTTAAACAGTTCAATCACAAGCACAGAAATTGAAAGCGTAATCAAAATGTGTTTCTAAGCACAAAACGTGAGGACTACAAAGCTTCTCCAGTGAACTCTACCAAACATCCAAGGAGAACCTAATACCTATTCCACTCAAACTCTTCAAAAAAAAAAAAAATCAAAGGAGAGCTCCCTAACATAAAATGAAGCTAACATTATCCTTATCCCAAAAACCAAACAAAGATAGTGCAAAGAAAATCTAAAAGCTACAGGCTAATAACCCTGATGAACATAGGTGCCAAAGTCCTCAAAAGAATCCTAGCAAACTGAATACAGCAAATATTAAGAGAATCTTTCAACATGATCAAGCAGGTTTCATTCCAGGGATGCAAGACTGATTCTACATAAATCAATCAATGCCATTAACTAGATCACAACAAAAATACAAAAAAACGCACAATCATTTAAATAAATGCCAAAAAAGTATTCCACAAGATAATATCCATTTATGATTAAAAAATACTCAATAAGGGTCTCTCCTGGTGGCTCCAGCAGTTGAGCGCTGGGCTGCGAAGCTGCCCACAGCCTCTGCAGCTCTGGTTCGATCCCCGGCCACCAGCGAGGGTCACACATGGCGTGCAGACCTCTCCTGCTGGGCCCACTGCTCCCCTCAGCAGTGTATTTCGTCAGTCTGCCTGTTCGGTTCCCCTCTCTGGCTCTGGTGAATTCTCTCACCCTCCTCTCTCACCTTCTGACTGTACCCAGTGCTTGTATAAATAAATAAATAAATCTTTAAAAACAATACTCAATAAAATGGCAGTAAAAGGATGCTATCCAAACATAATAAAAGCCATATACAAGCCTACAGCCAAAAACATACTCAGTGGTAAAAAAAACTGCAAACATATCTCTCAGGTAGGAAAAAGGCAAGGATGTCTACAGCCATCATTACAGTTCAACACAGTATTGGAAGTCCTACCTGGAGCAATTAGGCAAGAAAAAGACATAAAATGAATCTGAATTGTAAAAGAACAATTGAAATTGTTGCTATTTGCAGATATATAATATACCTATAGAGCCCAAAGAACTCTTCCAAAAAACTATTAGAAATAGAAATACTAAAGTGGCAGAAGACATAATCCATACACAAAAGTCAGTTGCATTTATATGCCCAATGTATCAAAGGAAATGGACATTTTTAATAATAATACC